CAATCAAACAGAGCAAAGGGATATTGCATGGTTTAAAATCCGGAAGGGAGTGTATCAGGGTTGTATCCTTTCATCCTATTTATTCAATCTGTATGCTGAGCAAATAATCTGAGAAACTGGGCTAAATGAAGAAGAACATGAAATCAGGATTGGAGGAAGACTCGTTACCAACCTGTGATATGCACATGACACAACCTTGCTTGCTGAAGGGGAAGATGACTTAAAGCACTTATTGATGCATATTAAAGACTATCGTCTGCAGTATGGATTACAACTCAACATAAAGAAAATGAATATTCTCACAAATGGACCAATAAACAACATCACGATAAATGGAGAGAAGATTGAAGTTGTCCAAGATTTCATATTACATGGATCTACAATCAACAGCACTAGAAGCAGCAGTCAATAAATCAAGCAATGTATTGCACTGGCCAAATGTGTTGCAAAAGACCCCTTTAAAGTGCTGAAGAGCAACAATGTCTCTTTGAAGATTAAGGTGGGCCTAACTGAAGCTATGGTATTTTCAATAGCCTCATATGCATCTGAAAGCTGGACAATGAATAAGGAACAACGAAGAAGAGTTGATGCTTTTGAGTTGTAGTGTTGGTGAGGAATACTGAGAGTACCATGGACTGCCAGAAGAATGAACAAATCTATCCTGGACGAAGTGCAGCTGGAATGCTCCTTGGAAATGAGAATGGCCAGACCTTGTCTCACCTACGTTCGTCATGTTGTCAGAAGGGACCATTATTCCCTGGAGAAGGATATCATGCTTGGTAAAGTGGAATGTCAGTGAAAAAGGGGAAGACCCTCAATGAGATCCATTGACACAGTGGCTGCAAGGATGGGCTAAGATATAGCAAGGATTAGGAAGATGGTGCACAACGAGGCAGTGTTTTGTTTCATTATACATGGGGTCACTATGAATTGGAGCCAACTTGACAGCACCTAACAACAACAACAACAACATTTGCTTCTATTAAGATGAGGTATGCCTAAGGAAAAAAGAAAGAAAAGAAAAAAAGTTTTATGTATGGCCTAAAATTAAGTACAACCAGTGCTGTGTCTGGATAGTACAATCAACCAAACAGTAATTAGTCTGGCCTTAGGGAATCATGGAAAACTAGAAAAAGGGGAAGACCCTCACTGAGATGGATTTGACACAGTGGCTGCAACAATAGGTTCAAGCATAGCAATGATTGTGAGGATGGCACGGGATTAGACAGTTCTGTTGTACACAGGGATACTGTGAATCTGAACCAACTTGACATGACTAAATAACAAGAAGTGTCCACTTCCGGAAAGAAAGACAAAAATAATTGTCAAAAGAGGCTCTGAATCTTGCTCTTGAGCTCAGAGTAGCTAAAGGGAATAGAAGAAATTATATATAAAGTCAAAGAGCTGAACAGATTTCAGAGGGTGACTTCAGAAGCCAAAGTATTACAATGAAATATGCGAAGACCTGGAATTAGAAAACCAAAAGGGAAGAATGTGCTTGGCATTTCTCTAGCTGAAAGAACTGGGGGGGAAAAAAAACAAGTCTTGAGTTGCAATACTGAAGGATTCTGTGGGCAAAAGTTAGTGGTGCAGAAGCTAAGGCATTCAGCTGCTAACCAAAAGATCAGCAGTCTGAAGCCACCAGCTGCTCTTTGGGAGAAAAATGAGTCAGTCTGCTTCTGTAAAGATTTACAGCCTTGGACCCTATGAGGCAGTTCTACTCTGTCTTGTAGGGTTACTGACAGTCAGAATCAACTTGACAGCAGTGGGTTTGGGGTTTTTTATGGGCAAAAATTTGAATCACTTGGGAAACATCAAAAGAAGATGCAAGGAATACAGAGCCACTGCACCAAAAAGAATTGGTCAACTTTCTACCATTTCAGAAGGTTGATCAAGAACTGATGGTTTTGAAGGAAGAAGCAAAAAATTGAATGATGTGGGAAGCATCGAAAGAAGATGCAAGGAATACAGAATCACTGTACCAAAAAGAATTGCTCAACTTTCAACCATGGTACTGAAGGAAGAAGTCCAAGCTACACTGAAGGCATTGGCAAAAAACACAAGGCTCCAAGAATTGTCAGAATTGACCAATTAAGATTCTTCAACAAACAGATGGAACACTAGAAGTGCTCACTCAAGAAATTTGGAAGACCACTACCTGTCCAATCAACTGGAAGGGATCCTTTTTTTGCCCTTTCCAAAGAAAGGTGATCCAATAGAATGTGGAAATTATCAAACAATGTCATTACTCCTAACCAGAAGGCTGGCAGTTCAAACCCACTAGCCACTCCTTGGAAGAAAGGTTGGACAATCTACTTCCATAGTGATACCACCTTGGAAACCCAAGGAGGGGTCACTGTGAATCAGGTCTGACTCAACGGCACATAACAACAACAGCAGCATCATCATTATTATCACATGCAAGCAAAATTTTGCTGAAGACAATTTTTAAGTGGCTACAGCCATACATTGACAGAGAGCTGCCAGAAATTCAAGGTGGATTCAGAAGAGGATGTGAAATGAAGGATATCGTTGCTGATGTCTGATGGATCTTGGCTGAAAGAGGAGAATGCCAGAGATGTTTACCTGTGTTTTACTGACTATGCAAAGGCATTCCATTGTGTGAGTCATAACAAATTATGGATAGCATTATGATGAATGGGGATTCCAGAACACTTCATTGTACTCCCGAGGAACCTGTACAAGGATGAAGAGGCAGTGATTGAAAGAGAACAAGGGTATACTGTGTGGGTTAAAATTGGAAAGGGGATGTGGCAGGGTTGTATCTTTTTGCCATACTTATTTAATCCTCAAGGCAAGCAAATAAGCCAAGAAGATGGACTACATTAAGAAGAGCATGATATCAGGATTGGAGGACAACTCATTAACAACCTGTGATATGCAGATGACACAACCTTGCTTGCTGAAAATGAAGATGACTTGAGGCACTTACTGATGAAAACCAAAGACTACAGCCTTCAGTATAGATTACACCTCAACATAAAAACACAAATATTTTGACAATTGGACCAAGAAGCAACATCATGATAAATGGAGAACAGATTGAAGTTGTTAAGGATTTCATTTCTTGCATCAATAATCAACACCAATTGAAGCAGCAGTCAAGAGATCAAGTGACATATTGCATTAGGCAAATCTGCTGCAAAAGACCTCTTTAAAGAGTTAAAAACCAAATGTGCATATGACCCAAGCCATAGTATTTTCAATTGCCTCATATGCATGTATTATCTGGACAGTGAATAAGGAAGACCAAAGAATAATAATGGTTTTGACAAAAAAAATATATTAAATATATCATGGACTGCCAGAATTACCAGCAGATCTGTCTTGGAAATACAGTCAAAGCGCTCCTTAGAAGGGAGCATGGTGAGACTTCATCTCTTGTACATCAGGAGGAACCAGTCCCTAGAGAGGGACACCATGCTTGATAAAGTAGAAGGTTAGTGAAAAAGAGGAAGACCCTCAATGAGATGGATTGACATAGTGTTTGAAACAATGGACTGAAACATTTCCAGGATTGTGAGGATGGAGCAGGACTGGGCAATGTTTTGATCTGTTATACAGAGTCACTGTAAGTAGAGCAAATTCAGTGGTACCTAATGTAACAATTTATGGAATCTTGAACCCTTAGTAATTTCTCATTAAATCTTTCAAAACCCTGATATCTAATGATATCTGCATATAATTAAGCTATTTTCTAATGAGTCCCAACGCCAAGAATATAGATCAGTGCCCACGTTGGCCTGAATTCTGGAAACTCAGTCTGTGAAGTAGGCCTTCTCTGAATCCTCTGGAATCTCAATGTAGCCTGAGAAATGACAATGATTTTGAGGCAATCAGAACTGGGGTTGGCCTATTGCTATTGCTCAACATATCTAGGATATGTATAGAGTCCTCCGCATTTTGTCTCAGAACCAGAGCCAGATCAGAAGGAGCCTATCTTCTAGGGATCTTGACATTATAATAGACTTCATAATGATCTGAACTTTTGCAACACCATCTCTGTCACAAAGCTTACCCTTTGAGTCCTAGCCTCCTCAGGCTCTGGAAGAAATCTCTTTGGGAGGCCTCATAATAGTGAGCTTGTTTTCCAGCTCCAACTCCTATTAGCTCTGAGACTTTGAATAAATTACCTCACTTGTCTGATCTTCCATTTTCTCATCTGGTAAGTTGTGTTAACAGTACTTAGTTATCATTAGATATCAGGGTTCTTGCAAGACTAAATGAGAAATTACTCTGTATTCAACATTTAGTAAGTGGACACTATCATTAGTAATTATTCTATCCATGAAAGGAGAGGTAGAACCCTAGCTAGCATCTCATGTGACTGAACTTTATTGCTAAACCTGTTTTCCTTTGGGCTTTTCATTTTGGCAAGCTGCTAAACTAAAATTTAGCACTGAAGGTCAGAAGAATTGTGTTCTGAAATAAATTGACAAGAATACAGACAACTCTTTGGAGAAGAAGAAAATACACACCCATAGAACTGAAGCAGAACAATGAACAATTGTTCTTTCTGAGATATTATCGATGCTATGTGGCAGTGAGCATGAGCATGACATTGGAGATGTGTTACCAGAATAACTGACCAGTTTGAACAATATCTAAAGAAATTTTCATTCTCCTAAAAAAGGAAGTATAGTCAATGTTTCTCATTTCTTTCAGATGTAACCACACGTAACATATTTGCTTCTTGCCTTTATCAACAACTGCACTGATGCTCTACTTGGTAAATTTAATGTTTTTGTCACATTGTTCTGTAACTTTGCCTCCTTGAGATATAATTAAATTTATTGTTGTACCTGCAATCTGCATATAAACTATGATTATTTATTATTTACTAAATCAGTTAGTGCTGTTTCTTACCAATGATAACTTACTAAATAATAGGTCACTAAAGAATTTTGGTGTCATGAGGCGTTTTGCTGTCAGGAACAAAAAAGTATAAGGTGTTATCTAGCACTAGTCAATATACATACCAGTGTTTGCAACATGTAATACTCCAGAAACTATTTGTGCTATATTTGTGAAAGAAGAACTGTCTGTCAGACCACCATGATCATGTTTTCTTCTCTCATCATTATTAGCATGGACATTTTTAATGTTGCCTTCCAATATACAAGTAACTGCAGAACAGCCACTCCATCGAACTCTGGACACTTCTTTCCTTCCAAGACGTAAAAGCCTATCCATTCTCCAAAATGCCTTTGCAAAGGCTTTGTGTATGCCATCAAACTCACAGTGCAATGTTTTTGTTGTTTGAGGTGTGAAAGAAAAGTGGTCTTCTATTTTTCTGTATTCTTCCTTAAATACAGTGTGAAAAGAATTTATTACATTTTGCTCTTCAGGGGTCATTTGGTAGGAGGGATCAAATCTGGAAATTTGATGGAGAAGTAAAATTGGGAGTTCCATTGATGCCAAGTTGGCTGCTGAAGCACCATAATGCCCATCAAACAAACCAAAAAAGCACACATTGGGTTTATTGCCAAAATTATTCACAATAGTGAATTTATCATCCATGGTAGTTCTCCACATAGAATTTCTGTCTTCACAAATGGCTACTCCTTTAATCAAGAGATGGCGTATTTTTTGAGAGTATATAGAACTCCTGTCAATATTATCAATAATCTTATAGTATGCTGGTAAGTGTTTCTTCCAAATCAGCTCAAAAGCATTATTAATGCTCTGTAGGACTTTTTCACTGAATATAAAAGATGACAATAGTTTGGTAATTAAAAACTGTCTCTGAGCAACAATTTCTGATTGTTCTGGTTTCTTCCCACCCATCCAGTGAAAACCCAGTGATGTCAGAGCTTTATGTTGCTTTTTATGGAAGAAAAAACTGGGTAGGTCAATTTCATGCTTGCATATGGAACAGGGAAATGTGACCACTTGCTTAGAGGCCTGCTGCTCATCATAGTCTTCAGTGATTTCCAGTGATCTCTTCTTCTTTTTTTTTATATTTCTATATATTTTTTTGCTTTGATGTGAGACAGCCTCATCTGAATCAAATGTTGATACTCTCATTTTCCATTCTTTTGATTTCCAAAACACTCTGCAGAGAGGATGAAAGATATTTACATGTCAGGAATAATGGAATAAAACGTTCTTCAAGCAGTCCCTTCCCATTGCAATTTGCTTTGGCTCCTCATGGTTTTATATAGACTTAGAGTGAAATATTTTGATCCAGTTGTCCATAATTCCCAGAAAACTCATATCAAGTACTAAATAATCTGATTCCTGTGTGTGCCCAACTAAAATTAGGCCAAGTCTCCACAAAGGCAGCTAGACACCTGTTCTGGTTACCTAGTGCCACTCTGGAAGGAATATATACCATAAGTGGGATGCTTGAACAAACAGGAGTTTATTCTCTTACAGTTTGGAGGCTTTAAGTCTAAGTTCAAAGTGCCAGGCTCTAGGGTCTGGGTGAAAAGCTCCTCAACCTTGGGCTTCAGCTCTGCCTCCCACTTCCAGCTCACTGGAGCTAGAGGCTTTTCTTCACTCAGTCAGCTGCTGGCTACTGAGACTGACAAGCCCAAGATTAACAAGTAAAAGGGCATAGTCCCGATTTTACCAAACCACATGGCAGGCCATTAATTCAAGGCCATTGTAAGTCCCCAGGTCAGCAGAGCATGGAAGGCTGCTGAACAACAACACGGCTACATGCAGGGTTCAAGTGTGCCATAGGCTAGAGACCATTCCCAAAGCTGCTTTTTATATATGAGAAGCAGACCACATACCCAAAGGCAGCTACTCAGCTGCTCCCAGTAGATTCCACCATGGAGCTGATTACCAGTCTTACCATGGGGAATACTACATCCAGCTGCCCAGCTACTCAACCAGGCCCAGCCAAGTTGACACACAAATGTAACCAGCACAATACCCAAGTACAAATACTCAGAGAAACTCATAGAATATTCCATCCCAAGGACATGAAGTTATATGCTTGAGACCTAGGGGTTTGATTTAAAACATGAGAATAATTACTTCTGTACTCCATTTTGTCTGGCATAAAACATTTTTGTCCTAATTAAATAGTTGGCAAGGAAATGAAAGGGCTGTGTCAAAACCTAACAGAATAATGAAAAGAATCAATAGTAAACACAACTGTGTATGTGTGTGTGTGTGTGTGTGTGTGTTTTGGGACTATAATAGGTAAGAGGTGTGCACTGAGGAAAATATACGGAGCTCGGTGATGAATTTCTAGAAGGCAGACACCCTTCCTTAAACTCCTTCCCTATCAGAAGCTAGATGCTATTAGAGGCATCTAGCACAGTGGTCAGCACATTGGGCTTTTTTTTTTTTTTTTTAATCCATTTTACTCTAAAAGCACAATTTATAGGGAATGAACTCTTTCCAAGGACCTATGAAAATCTTAAGGATCCCTAATGGTGCAATGGTTAAGAGCTCTACTGCTAACCAAAAGGTTGGGGGGTACAAACCCCCCAGTGGCTCCATGGGAGAAAAGACCTAGAGATCCTTAACTGTAAAGACTATAGGCTAGGAAACGCTATGGGGCCAGTTCCACTCAATAGCACATAACAACATGTAAAGGCCAGAGACCTAAAAAAGAAAAAGAAAGGAAAAAAAAAAAAAAAAAGAAATGTAGTTATAAAATATTTTAAAACATGAAAAATCAAAGTTTGTAACATTAAATATTTATGAATGTATTTGTGACATTTTGGAAACTAATCAATTTCAACTCACCTCATTGTATTTAGCATGACTAGCTCTGGTAGGGTAGTGCCTAAGGCACTTGACGGCTAACCAGAAGGCTGGTGGTTCAAACCCACCAACCACTCACTCCTCAGAAGGAAGTTTGGGCAATCTACTTCCATAGTGGTACCACCTCAGAAACCCAAGGAGGGGTCGCTATGAATCAGGTCTGACTCAATGGCGCATAACAGCAACAACAACAACATATTTTAATAGTGAGCTCTGGTGGCACAGTGCCTAAGGCATTGACTGCTAACCAGAAGGCTGGTGGTTCAAACCCACCAGCCATTCCTCAGAAGATTTGGCAATCGACTTCTGTAGAGATACTGACTCGAAAACCCAAGGAGGGGTTGCTATGAGTGGGACCCGACTCAATGGCAGTGAGAGAGAGAGAGAGAGAGAGATTTTAATATGTAAAATTTAATGAAGGGTGGGGCATACAAAAATAAGAGTGTCTAGAGACTACACAGACTTAAAATATAACAGGCACATAACAGATATCTTGATTGTTGGAGCTCTGGTAGTGTAGTGCCTAAGGCATTTGATTACTAACCAGAAAGCAGGCGGTCAAACCCACCATCCACTTCTCAGAAGGAAGGTGGAGCAATCTACTTCCGTAGTGATACTGCCTCGGAAACCCAAGGAGGGGTCACTATGAGTTGGGTCGGACTTGACAGCACATAACAACAATAACAACATACAAAAGGATAAGGAACTCTGATAGCACAGTGCCTAACGCATATGACTGCTAACTAGAAGGTTGGTGGTTCAAACCCACCAGCCACTCTATGAAGTAAGACTGGACAATCTACTTCTGTAGAGATTTACTGCGTCAGAAACCCAATGGGGTTTGCTATGGGTTGGAATTAACTTGATGGCAGTGTGTTTGATTTTTTTGGTATACAAAAGGATACAATATGGAAAATGAAAGAATATCCTCCTTGTCTCCCCATCCTACTCAACTCCAAAATTCCACTCCCAATAGTAATTAATAGTTTGATATTTATCTTTCCAGATATTTTAATGAATATATATATATATTTCTTCTGAAATGTAAGTGGCATCATATTTTATATAACATTGTATAATCTGCCATTTTCATGTAACACTATCATAATAAGTTTGAGTAAGAAGAAGTGAAACAATATATTGTGAATAATATGAATTTGGGGTTAAAAAAAGCAAATATCTTCATTTACCAATTTACTAACTAACTTTAATCAAATTATTTAATTCTCTGAGCATCTTTCTTTTTTATCTGTAAAGTGCATATGATTGTTTTTAGCAACAAATGTGGTAAAAAATAAAGAAATGGGCCCACAGAGGACACTCAAATGATGCCTTCTCGAGAGAATAAAATACATTGGAATAAATCCAACCAAGGACATGAAGGACTTAGACAACGAAATTAATAAATTGCTGAAAGAATTAAAAGAAGACTAAATAAACGGAAAGATTTTCTGTGTTTTGGAGTTGGAAGTTTAATATTATTAAGATATCAGTAATACCTAAAGTGATCTATGGATTCAATGCAATCTCAATAAAAATCCCCACAGCCTTTATAAAAATGAAAAATCCAATCCTCAACTTTATGTGAAATGGCAAGAGGCCATAAATAGATAAAAGAGCAAAGTAGGAGGACTTACTTTCTGATTTTAAAACGTATTATACAGCTACAGTGATCAAAATAGCCTGGTACTGATATACAATAGATATATAGACCAATAAACAGAATTGAGGGTCCAGAAATTAACCCACAGATCTATGGCCAACTGACTTTTGACAAGGATGCTAAGTCCATTCAATGGGGAAAGAAGAGTCTCTGTAATAAATGGTGCTGGGAAAATTTGATTTCCAAATACAGAAGAATGAAACAGGATCTGAGCCTCACACCACACACAAAAATGAATTCAAAATTGAATAAGAACAGAAATGTGCAAACTAAAACCATAAAATTCTTAGGGAAAAAAATGCAAGAACCCTGCTGTTGGTCCTGTTGTTGTTGTTGTCATGTGCCATCTAGTCAGATCCGACTCATAGCAACCCCTCCTTGGGTTTCTGAGACAGTATCACTGCGGAAGTAGATTGCCCCATCTCCCTTCCGAGGAGTGGCTGGTGGGTTTCAACTGCCAGCCTTCTGGTTAGCAGTCAAGTGCCTTAGGCACTATGCTACTAGAGCTCCTGCTGTTGGGCATAGCATTTAACAATGAATTATTTAATATAATAAAATTACAAACAGCAAATGACAAAATAAATAAATAGGACCTCATAAATATTTAAAAACAAAAACTTTTGCTCATTAAAAGATTTATCCCAAAAAGTGAAAAGACAAGCTACCCATTGGGGAAATATCTTTGGAAACCATATATCCAATAAGAATTTAATAAACAAAATATATTTAAAACTTAACAACAAAGGGACAAATAACACAATCATAAAATGGGGAAAGGACTTGAACAGACAGACATTGCCCAAAAAGGATATTCAAATGGCCACCAAATGCATGAAAAGATGTTCAACATAATTAGCCACCACAGAGATGCAAATCAAAAGCACAATGAGATATCACGTCACTCTCACTAGGATAGATTTGTTGTTCATTATTAGGTGCTCTAGAGTTGCAATCTCATGTACCATTGGACAAAACCCAATTCTGCTCCATCCTCACAATCATTGCTTAGCTTGATTCACTTGTTACAGCCACTGTCTCATTTCTTCTCATTCAGGGTCTTCCTACTTTTTTGCTGACTCCCTACTTCTCCAAGCATGATGTCTCCTACAAGGACTGGTACCTACTGATAACATGTCTAAAATAAGCGAGACAAAGTCTTGCCATCTTCTTTTCTAAGGAGCATGTTGGCTGTAATTCTTACAAGATAGATTTGTTTGTTCTTCTGAAAATCCATGATATATTGAATATTCTTCACCAAAACCATAATTCAAATGCACCAATTCTTCTATGATCTTCCTTATTCATTGTCCAGCTCTCACATGCTTATGAGGTAATTGAAATACCATGAGTTGAGTTAGGCCCAACTTAGTCCCTAAAGTGACATGTTTGCTCTTTAACACTTTAGAGATCTTTTACAACAGATTTGCTCAATGCAAAACATCATTTGATTTCTTGACTGCTGCTTCCATGGGTGTTGACAGTGGTACCACCAAGTAAAATGAAATCCCGACAACTTCAATCTTTTCTCTATTTATCATGATGTTGTTTATTGGTCTGGTTGTAAAGATGCTGCATTCTTCTTCATATAGTCTATCTTCTTCTTCAGCAAACAAATTGAATAGGTACAGTGAAAGCATAC